TCTGACATCTGATTTTGATATTTAGCGCGATTTGGCACCAAACCGTACGCTCCAACCCAAATGCAAAATTTAGTCGCCATACGACTGAGAAAGCGATCCTAAAGTGAATATGTTCAAGACACACAATGAGAATGTTATGTTTATAATCTGCTCTATTTAGCCATAAAATAGTGATCACGGTGGGTAGAGGGCGTTGCGGTTTTGATGACGTCATTGAACGTCATTGGTGGACCAGACAGCGCGTTGGGGTTATGTTGGTACCGCCTCCCACTGCGCCATTCCACCAATGACGTTCATGGCGGGTCAAAGTTGCACTGCTCCAGCCGTCGTGATCACTTCCTCCGCTTTTTATTTTGGTCTTACTTTGGTGAGCAGGATCAGCTCTGGTTTCAGGGTGCAAATATCGGATCTCCCTGATGTGTCTGATCTCGTTTGTAAGTATAATGTGGATGAAGAATCTAAGCTGTTTCTTGCTCGTTGGCATGCCGAACATGATGTGGCTGACGCTTCTGCCACACCGAAACCTTCAGCTCTGAGTGGATATCGCGATACGGCCGAGCTCGTTATATGCCCTGTCACTCTGCAGTACATGACGGTGCGTTCAAAGTATCTCCTTTGAAGGTCTCGAATACGGTTCTCATAAGTTTCTCATTCAGGCAGTACTCAATAAGACGGATCTGAACTATGGACGATACGGATTTCATAATTTCTATCGGATAGAGCTGATGAAACGACGTGACACGGATCTTTGGATTCTGTTCACGAATTGGGGACGAATTGGTATGGGTCGAGGCGAATATCAAACCACACCATTCAGCACTCTTGACGCAGGTACGGTGAATCGGTGTCTTCGAAATATGAGAGGGGTAAGACCGTGGCAGAATACTTCCTTTGCTCTCTTGGGCAATGGATTAGGGAAGCCCGCCCGTAGCATGTGGTCTGTACGGATAAACCCCTAATTTGAACGTTCGCTATCCTGAGCGATTCATTGTGCACCCTTGTATGGGCCTCGTATGGATTGAAAAGGCCTCAGTCATTCTGAGTGAAAGCTGAATGCGCGGCACAATTTGCAACTCGGCGGTTAAAATTCCCCATAGAGTTCTAACTGATCAGCGCTCTGTGTGGCAGCGGACTTTTCCGCTCGAAGGGTGGAACCGACGGCCTCTGAAGACGACGATTCAGTCGAAACGTTAGGCCATTAATAAAAGGTTCCACCGAACAACCTCGTAAGGCACAAGAAAATTTGTTAAACTTACAACTGACATGCCGAGGTTACAAGAAGAGAGAAGTTGGAGAATTCCCCATAGTGATTATTTCGAAACATAGCTGGAGTCCAGCCGTCATCGCTATTAGTGGGATCACTAATTCAGTTGTCTCCATTTCAGCAATGAAAGAGTTTAAATCTGTGTGGCGATCGAAGACAGGGCAAGATTGGGGACCATTCTCACAGTTCCAGGTTCTACCCAAGAAATATCGCTTGGTAGAGGTGAGGATCAGGAATTTCTATATGGCTATTTTGCGTTCCTTTTTTTCGAATTTTCGCTTACACTGTGCAAACAATTAAGAGTTATGTACGTTTTGCAGACCACCAAGAAAGTGAACAACCTCTCTGAGATTTCCCTCCATTTCGTTGAAAACAAGGAGGAATCTCTTATCAGGAGATCAATACAGGATATCAGTAATGTGCAGAAATTGAAATGTTACGCGAAAGAGGTAATTTTATGAGTTTGCCTTCCTTTTATATATCTTCGAACAATGCTGCTATCCATTATCTAATTTTCTAGATTTTTGATCACCAGACTTACCAGGAAGGTCTTTCAGGGCGTGACAAGCTTTTTGAAAACGGTCTTTTGCATGATATAGGGGCACATGCGGGAACCACAGAACCATGGTTAATTTTTCCTAAACGGCCCTCTGAATACCAAAAAGGGGTCCCTAGTTCGATTCCTCGTGGTGACAAACTTTTGCATTTCGAGTTGACGTGGTTACTGACGGTCCTAATTATGAATATGGCACTAATTGTTCATGCTAACTCCATTTTGCGCGAATTTTGAACGTCAACTCGAAATGCAAAAATTTGTCACCACGAGGAATCGAACTAGGGACCCCCTTTTCTGGTATTCAGAGGGCCGTTCAGGAAAAATTAACCATGGTTCTGTGGTTCCCGCATGTGCCCCTATATCATGCAAAAGACCGTTTTCAAAAAGCTTCGGCACGCCCTGAAAACCTTCCTGGTTAGGCATGCTAAAGGCTCTTCAGTCATGGCCCGGTTCGCTAGTAGCGAACGAATCGCTCGGTTCGCAAAGTCCTACACGAGCCCGGAGGCGCGTAAAATCAATACCCATCTCCATGTTTTGTGCGTAATACCCACTGAACTAAGCCATGAAAAAACGGTGGGAATCACGTTTCGTGCGGGACCGGCAAAGATTCATCTTCCCTCTTGTCTATCGCTTCCATAAAGAATCGTGGTAGCTTAGAAGGATTCCTTAAACTGAGAAAAGTCCCATTTCTTTGGACCGTGCAAGGGGCTGTGAAGCCTGCATTTCGCAAGATCCGTATTGGGGCTTGGGGCGCAAAATTGCTGTGTGGAGGGGTCGTATCTCGACTTGCTGATTTCGACGTTCTATTTCTGGATTCCCTTTCTACGTGGAATGATAAAACTGGAAACTTCTGGACCGACATCGCTTTGTCGCGTATAATCTGACGCGGGCCAGTCACTATGCAGTTTTAACCCCTTAATATTTGGCAGATTATCATGACAAGAGAGAGGAATTTCTTCAATCTTTCCGTTTGGGTCAGTTGAACAGAGCTCAGCAGATCTCAAGGTTAGGTTTAGACTTGCAAGGATGTTCTCCGGGACTGGAGCGCTTCTTCAAAATGGTTTTCTGCATACTATAGAGCTCGTCATGCTGGACAAAGAACCATGATCCATTATTACGGAATCCGGAGTGCCGAACTACGCCAACGATCGAAGATCAGGGACGCTGCCGTTTTCGCCAAGGAATCGAAGATAAGGTGGGCCGGACACGTCATGCGATTTTGCGATGACCGTTGGACCAGAGCGGTTACCGACTGGATCCCTCGGGACGTCAAACGAACACCTGGACGACCGCCGGCCCGATGGTCAGACTTCTTCACGAAAGCTCTGAACGAAAGGAATGAAGGACATCGTGTCCCTCGAGCGAGGAGGGTCCACTGGACAACTCTTGCACGCGACAGGGACGAATGGAGACGTTGCTGGCGCCCGCTCGAGCAAATTCGATGATCAACGGGACGACAGGTGATACAGGTGATCTAGGAACGTCCAAAACGCGGTGAACTAGATGGTCCAGGGTTCGATCCCCGTGATGACTAATTTTTGCAATTTACGTTGGCGCCTCCAAATTGCCGCAAAACACGATAGTGACATCTATCTCTTGACAATGGCGCCATTTGGCGGCAATTTGGAGGCGCCAACGTAAATTGCAAAAATTAGTCACCACCGGGGATCGAACTCTGGGCCATCTGTTCACCACTGTTTGACGTTGCTAGAAGGATTTAAGGAAAAATTGGATATAATTCTGGGTTCCTTACACAAGCCTCTGCAATAAACACAAAACCATTTTGAAAAAAAAAAAACGCTCCATGTTCTGAATTGCCTTCCTTGTTAGGCTTTACCTTCTTATGAGCAACCAAGCAACCTGGCCTAATGCAATTTGATGGCACACCTTCCACCTCTGTTGAGACAGGGTTAATTAATACAAAAGCAGTTCGAAGTGCATAGATTTTTTTCCTTGACTGGCATTCTCGAAAATGAAATTCAGATGGATCGATCCATGGCATGTCCATTCGGCCATATCAGCGAGGCGGCAATCGAGAGAGCTCGCGCCATACTGGACGACTGTGAGAAGAACGTGGATGAGCTCGAGAAGGTCTTAGCCAAGGAGAACCACACTGATGTTGATGTGTTACAAGTTTTCGAGACAAGTGTAAGTTTGCTGCCCATTTTGCGATTCGCTAACCTTATCCTCTTCATATGGGCCAGAACTTTCAGCGAACCCTTTCTGGCGAATTTTACAACACGTTCCCGATCGCAGATTTTCGAATACGGCACAGTGAAGATCTTCGATACTGTGGGTTTTCATTTTAATTTTTTATCAGATATGGATTCGAAGGCCCTGGATCCACAGTGGCGGAGGGCGAGTACGTTTTGATGACATCACAAACAACGTTGGTGGACTAGACACCTAAGCGGTCTGATTGGGATGGCCTCCTAACTTTCTTCCATCAGCGACACTCAGTGTCGTCATCGAAACCGCACCACCCTCCACCCGTCGTGATCACTACCTTTGAAAATCTTTTTGAGCCTCTCTCCTTTGCATTCATATTGTTACCGTAATGCACTGGTCTAAAAGTAAAGGACGCATAGAAGAAGTACCATAACTTATTAAAATGCTATAGGCCTCAAAATGGCTCCTGTTATGTGGACTATACTGTATTGTAGTGTAGTAGTTCTTTCTATTTATGGTTGAACTCTATCAAACTATGTTACCTAACAGTAACACATCGCGGAAAACTTTCGTCAGATCCTACGTTTTGCGCGCTAATGTTATTACATACTTGCAGAAAGATGACATTAATCGTGCTCGCGAAACTTTGAATCGTATGGCTGAGGTCGAAGTAGCAACACGTCTTCTCACTGGCGCTGCCCATCGGAAAGACGTTGATAGAATCAGGTAAGTTCAGAAAGTGGTCATTTCTCCATTCAGACTGTATTTCCACTTTTCCTAGCTACATAATAGCAGCGTTGGAATGCCGGTTCACTGAGATGAGTCCGACGGCCGATATGAGCCAAAAAATACTTCGGTATATCCACGTGACGGGCGGTTCTTGTTGGAAGATCAAGGTTCAAAAAGACATGTTTACTATTTTCCGTGGCCTCTTTTTGTACCATATTTTAGGATTTTCAATGCCACATTTTCAGGGAATTCTGGAAATAACCCCACGAGAAGCCACTTTGAACTTTGGTGATTTCGTTGATGACGACAATCAAATGTGAGTCGAATGCTTCTTACGATGGTATGAATTGATAACTTAAGCGCTTCTGATCTCAGGTTCCTTTGGCATGGCACGAAAGCTGTGAACTTAATGAGTATTCTGAAGGATGGCTTTCTCGTGAATCCGCGTAACACCATCAATTACGGGTAGATTGTTTGGAGATGTGAGTTTTACCTATATTCAGGAACCAAAGATAGCGGTTTCTCAAATTTAGCGCTCAGAGGTGTCAGGTTTGCGATCAATCGCTCCCCGTCAGAAGCGCTGCTGCATCGCTCGTGCCCTGCGATTGATGCGGTTTGCTGAGGCCGCGTTCATAGTTAGCGACTTCGGAGATTAATAGTATGCGATAGGACTTCAGGGCAGCAGCTATTAGGATGTTTGGCTGAAAAGATTAGATAGTTATTGATCATGCTATAGGCAACTGACAGATTGACGTCCTCAGGCAAATTAATCAGTACGGACCTAATCATTTCCGCGCATGCATATGTATGACTACCACTATCATAATCTCTTACTCTCCTACTAGCCCAGTTTCCTATTTTCGTAATCTATTATTTTCCGGCGACTGCAATCAATATGCAAATAATATTTTCAAAGGAGTATCTTACTACCAGTATCCTTCTTCTTATCAATACGTATCTTTTTCATTCTCACTTACTACTCCAATACGCCAAGTATGAACGCGGCCTAACGATTGATACGGAGTCTATTACCCCCTCGGCCTTGAACTCGCCAACAAACGGAAACCGGTTCACTTGTCACTTCACATTTTATCGGTGCTAACTTATTGCTAATGCTCTCTCCAAGAGCTGCGGTTATTAAGCTTTTCCTCCTCATCTGAGTAGGAGTAAAAGTACCGTGGCCACTTGAATGAGTACGATTCGAAACTGCCCTCAAAAATGAAATAAATAAATATGTACATGTATATATACCTATGGATTTTCAGGGTATCTATTTGGCGGATTCGTTCGAGAAGAGCTCGCATTACTGTCAGTCGTCTGCTAATGGTTCTAAACTATATGCTATTGTGCCGAGTGAGATTTTTGCTATATCCTATTGCAACGAATTCGCTCTACCTTTTCCTTTATATTCTATTGTTCAAAACTGTATCGCTGAACCCTCAAATGTTTTCCGGACATTTGAACGTACTTAAAGGCAAAAGTCGGGCTCAATAAGGGGGTATTATGGCGATTGAAAACTGAGTATAGAGATGCGAAGTGGAACGACAGTGGAGAAAAAACTGAGAAAAACCGTCGACAAGGCCGTTAACAAAACCCTCTTTCCCACTAGCAGTGAAGGAGGCTGGCTTGGGAAAGAGGCACGTACAAACAAGTTTTCTGAGATGTCAGTCGTTCTATCGGTTGATACGGCAATCAACCTAGCTGATTTCACACGTTATGCCAGCCACGCACCACTTCCGGAGGTGGGCGGTCCTGGATTGACCAGGCGGCCCTGGATTGAAACCGAACGCCCGGGGCCTTAACGGGGTTTTTCAAGGTGGGAAGTTGCTGCAATGTGTGCAGCTACCCACATACAACCTCCAGGCACGGGAATTACTTCTCTAGCGTGCCTGAGCCCGACCTTTGCCTTTAACACATCAATCACCACTCCCCCGTATTTGTGAGCGTCGCACGGAGGTCATTGATGAAGTTGTGGATGTGAGATTCCAAAAATGAAAAATTGAAGAAAAAAGCAAAGGAAAGCGTCGGGATTTTTAAAACAAAAGTTCCCTTGTAAAAGGGAAGGGGTGGAACACAGACGAGCTTTACAAACCTGGCTGCTCACGGCTCTAGTAACCTGTGCGTATTTGAATTAGCCGCTACGCCGAAATCACGCTGTGATCATGAGATATGCGCGATGTAGCTCCTCCAAATGCTAAGACTAGTCGCCAAATGCTGACCCCGCCATTTTTGCGCAATTTTGAGCTGCAACAACGGCACATCTGTGCCACTCGTGGGCTACCTTTTCCACCCACTAGATAGATACTTCGACACGGCTTTTGCTGGGAGTGTTGCTTCAAACTGCTGATTACTACGGCGAAAGGATCAAGCGGGCATTTACTTGGTCATTATAGCGTCACTTGCTGCCGGCTAGATCCCTCCACGCGGTGAGGCTGTGGTTGGGATAGCCTCTTAACGCCCTTCCACCAATGACGTTCTATGACCTCACCATAACCGCACCGCCCCAGTCATTGTGACTTTTACCTTTAGCTTCCTGGAATTGAGGCTTTTTATCGTTGTTGAATTGGAAATGTTTTCATTCAGGTAGCGCTAGGAAAGTGTTACACAAAGAATTCATGGAACCTTCAGTGGGGTGAAGATATGCCAAAAGGCTTCGATTCGATACACGTGGTTGGTCAGAAATACCCGCAATCGTCCATTACTGAAAACGGTAAGCACACTACTTCTGAAAATTTTTGACAGGAAAGCTGGTCATTTCACATGCAATTTAGCAGAGTCATTGTTATATGTTAGTTTTTATCAGTGTAAGCTGACAGACAGCACCGTAATGACGCTAGGTGTGGCACCACTCCCGTAGGAAGTGTGAGAATGATATTCTCGAAAGCCCTTCTCACGATTTTCGTGTTTTCCTGCTCATACAGGAAGGCGAAGTTGCGTTCCGAATCAGCAGCAAAGAGAAAAGGAAAAGATACTGTCGGAAACACAGGGAACAGCATTCTTCTCTTTGAAAGTTGCAGCATTTTCGAAACATGACAGGCAGACAGTTCAAGAGACACTGTGCACGAGTCGAGAGGACGAGTAAGAGCTTAGTGGACGAGCGAGAGGTGCAGACTCCTTGCCGTGTAGGGAGCTGATAGTCGAGAGCAAGGCAGGAGACCCTATGAGAGCGTTTTGCCATTCACATTCCCCTATGCATCGGATATCGTGTGCATTAGTACAACACATAGGGCAGTCAACTCGAGGAGGGTAGACTAACAACTAATTCTTTTTCGACATATTCGATTCCAAAGGAAAGCTGAAGGTCTTGCGTTGCAATGTAAGGCTTGCCAATTCCCGACATTCTAATGGCCCGTCGTTCGAAAGCCAAAACCGTTGAAACTCTTCCTCATGAGGCCATGTTCCCTCCTACATCGAGTCGCTAGGCCTCCAATCTCGTTTGGAATTAAAGGAAATCCTTCACGGAAAAAAAAAAAATCATGATTCTATTTCAGCCATAAATCACTGGCTTTGAGACCCATTCATCCACGATAAGAATGAAAAGAACAGAAAAATTGCTTTTGTTTTGGTAAAAATTCGAAAAATCGAAAGGGCTGCTACGCGTTCAAACAGGGTCAAGCGAGGCGTTGAGGAAAATTTGGAAATACGACCCCCCCCCCCCACCACCCTCCGCCGGAGGCCGAAGTCCATGAAACAACCCTCTTCAAAAGCCGAACTATGAAAAGGTTGAAAAGCTTGTTTAATTCTCCCCCAAAACTGCTCATAAAAAAGCCCTGCTACCCCACCGCCCACAAAAAAATTCGTTTAAGAAGTACAAAAGTGAAAAAGTCAAAGAATAATCATTATTGATGAGTCCTACCAAACGAGCAAACGAGAAACAGACCAGAAAACGACAAACTAGCCACTAAAAATGGCATACTATGACAACATTTTATTTCCTTCACAAGACTTACCAAATTCTAGTACTACACAGATTGTGGTTCTCAATTTGCACGTAGCCCTTCAGTTGAAAGAAGCTTTTTAACCGCCTTCGCCAGCTGTGTGTTGACTGGACTTTGGCGTTGACCGTGGAGCAGCTTATTTACTATTGAAATTTGAACAAATATTCAAATGATTATAACTTTCTTCAAATATGACGAATTTTCAATCTGAAAGCAGATTTGGAAGTTTTGTGAAGAGCTTTTTCTAATCAGTATGAAATTACAAAAAGTTATAAGAAATAACAAATTTAGATCAATTAACGAGGAAAATTCGAGATGAGCACGAGTTTTTACACTTTCCGAAGCAATAACTTGCTTCATTTTCGTCAAATTCGAAAAGTTAATATGGCAGACAAAACTAGAAGATTTTCTCTACCAAACCGTTGCTAAAGCAGCTTCTATACGTCCAGTATTCAAAAAATGGCCACGTTGAGGATTTCTGCAAAATTAACGAGGAAAATTTGTGATGAGTGCGAGTTTTTTTACTTCCTAAAGCCATAACTCCGTTCAAACTCATCCAATCCGAAAAGTAAATACGCCATCATAAACTAGAAGATTTGCTCTATCAAATGCTTACTAGAACTGCTCCAAACGTCCAGTATTAAAAAAACGGCTACGTTGAGGATTTTCGCACGAGTACCGCCGAAAGGTACTTTTTCGCTACATTGGCACTATTTCAACGGCTGTATATCCTTTTAAGGGCGATTATGTACTAAAGTAAGAGCAGATTTGGAATCACTGCTTTTCTCTTTCTAAGAAAAGTGATTGATTAGCGTTTCTCAACTTTAAAGGTTACATGTTTATAAATTTAACCCTGAAGAGTCCGTTAACGCAATGTTGAATGGTGTACACCTCCCTGTAAATGCGCACGGACACTTTCAGAATTCTCTCGATTGTTCCTGAATTGAGGTTGTTTGTCCAAGGAGCCGTAGTTGAAGCGCGCGCAACAACTAGACCCTTTCTCGGATGCGCCGTGTACCTCACATCCCTTCAGATTCGGGGTCTTACTTGAAAGATGAAATATCTCTTGGAAAGCGTGCGAAATTCAGATTCTTTAACTTGTGTGGTGATAAAACACTGAAGTAACTAAGAATTACCGGACGCCTCAGAATCACGAAAATTTTGTGTGGGTGAAATATCATTTTCATTGGAAATCCTCTGGCCTGGCATCGACTCATCCTTGATATTTGTCTTCCGACGGTGATGATCCCACTGCATCAAAATGGCTCGATCTCTTCCACCCAGCGGGCCAATACGACCCCCCCCTGCGACGTGTCGAGGATTCCTCAACGCACGCTTGACCCTGGTTCGAATGCCACGGACGTCTTTCACGAATGCTGGCGACGGGGATGCTCAAACTTGGTTCTTGGAGTGCATTCACTAGAAGCTCTTTCTGGCCTTCTGCTTCGTTGCATTCACATCTTACACTTCTACTCCATCCTATTCCATCGATCGATTTGTCTCCACTCTCCGAAATCGCGCGCTTTAACCCGATTCTCTCATTGCGTCGCCTGGTACGTAGCCGGCCAAACGCCGTCTTCTTTCCATGCCTCGCCTGGCTCTGCCTCCTGGTCCTTCGATGGTCCATAACGTGTAGTTTTTGTACGTTTGTTTCTCTTCAGAAACCGAATCTTCATGCGTGAAACTTTGTGTGCTATTTCCAGTGATCACAACTGACATATTCATGTTAGGAAAGAGTGCAAGAATTTTCCGCGCAAGATTCCTTTAATTTTCATTCGTTTCAAAATGTCTGTGCATGGACGTACACACCCGCTTTGCATGCTCATCACACCACGTAAACGCTTTTTTGCATAATCCATTGAACCTGTAGGTGCACTCCACTTCATTCCTCATCATGTCTTCGCTAGAGGAATTGCGCCTTT